AAAAAAAAAATCACAAAATGATCACAAAGTAACACATTTTACTCCTTATATATATAATGGCATTAATAACTGACATTGAGAAAAAAGTAACAGAACAGAGGACTGGAGGAATGTTTCTGAAGAAATGCTTATCTTAGAAACATTAAGTAACAGTTTTGACCAGTTCTATGACTGATAGCTAACAAATGAAGACATTTACTTTCGCAAGAAGCTTTGCCACTCCACCCTTGATCATAGCACTCTTTGAAGCTCGACCCGCTAATCTGGTAACTGTAAAAAGACAGAGTGAAAACAAAGCTGCTTTGTTAATTTAAAGAAATGTTAAACCTTAACAGTCATGAAATTGCAATGCACTGAAAAAACATTTTTATAACTGAATCAATCACTGTTGTTAGAAGGAGAGCCAAGTTTCTAGCCAGTGAAACCACAAAGTAACATCTTATGACAACCAATCTATTTGTCTTTCATATGTATTTTGTTTTCTTTAGAAACATTTTCCATTAGCCAATGCATTCCATTGCACAGACATCAGTCATTTATCAGTACTTTATGCCAGACAACTTTTAGCACTACAGCATGAAGAAATGCAATGTTTGGAAATGAACATTAATATTTTAGTTATTTTTGTATGTCATTACTTCATGATTTTCATTTTTCTTTTTGGATTTTCTTATATTTTAACACAATGCTCAACCAGATAAGTATGAGAAGGTGAAACAGGTTTATACTTGCCCTTTTTCACAAGTTACTTTTACTAGAGCACCAAACAGAGTACCCCGACTTGTATCAAACTTCATATGTGGCTTTGGTGGAGGTTGACCACAGTCTTTCTCTGTAGCATAAAAAACAAACAACTGATATCACTACAGGTGTTTCAGGCTGTACATCAACTCACAAAATAACAGTAGTAGACAAGACTTACTCTTGCAGATGAGCTCTGACTCAGTCCATTGATCATTAATGCAAGTTATAAATTCAGAGCCGCTTTCTTTAATATATCCACTAGAACACTCTAACGTGACCATGATATTCTCTGGGAAAAAATTCTTTAGAAGTGATTCATTGGTTAGGACAGTATTGTCCCCTCCCTCAGGTTTAGGACAGTCACCTGGAAGTAAAAAAAATGGGTTTAAAATCAGTAATCATAACAATTAAAAACTAAACATGAAAATTTGATTAAAATGATTAAAAATGTAAATACAAATTCAGCCAATATCATACATAACTTATAGGCTTTAGTGGAAGACATGAATGAAAATAATCTGTCGATCCTAATTCCTCATCAGAAATCGCTTTTTTAGTAAGGCAACTTCTATAAATAACCTAATGGAGAGGGATAATATAACTTCCTTCGGTGAAGTTTGTGTTAACATCCTTATTTTCAGTTAGTCACATTTTGTTATTTGTATAAAAACACTGAAAACATAGGTTCCTATCATCATAATACAGAAAAATCTATACCCTTAGTGATGAGATGCACTTAATTCTTAATACTAAGTTTTCCAATGAATATTTTTTAAAAAAAAGTGTTTTCCTGCATGCTTTCTTTCTTGCACACACAGGAAGAGATTCCCCATATTTCCTAATATTTCCCAACACAGACACACAAAGGGGGAGAGTGTAAAGCCTAAAGCCAGGTGCTTGTTTACAAAAGTCTTTGGTCTTTGCAATGCAAATGCAGGTGTACAATGTATTTGATCATTCTATATCTATAACAGACAAAGGGTTAGACTGATATAAGTAAGCTTAAATTTACAAGGTTTTGGAGCAGGTCTATTTTTTAAATTGAGAGAACCCCAAGAGGAAATGAAATTGATGTTAGAGTATGCAGCCAAGAACTAAAGCCTTATTTATTCATTCAGTGAAAACCTGCTTTGGTTTTTTTGGCATGCACAGATTGTAGAGATTGATTTTGGAATGTCTGAATGGCGAACAAAAAATAAACATAGAAACAGGAAAAGTTGCTACCAACATACCTACATAGATACAATTTGATTTTAAAAACAAATCTGATTAACCCTGGGCTTTTTGTACTACAAAGGCAGTTTACTTCTTACTAAAGTATATCTTATTGCAATGTAACTTATCCTTCAAACCTAACCTACCTCAGAGCGGGTTAGATTAGGGATCAGTAGATATGAAATCTGAGCCTACTGACTAATCAGTCATGACTTTTCTAGAGAAGATCCTCAGATTTTCTCTGGAAAAAAGACTACCCTACTGTCTGCAGGTGTTTTGTAAAAAATATGAAAACAAGGCCACCTACATTACATCACATTTGTATGTACACTAAACCACATTGAAATTCTACTTTTAGGTTTATTCTTTACTACCTCTCTCACGAGGCTGTAACAAACAACAAGAACTAAAACTTCCTTCTAAATATTAATTTAATCAAAAATTCATTATAATCCATGAGATTCTCCTGTGTCTTGATACAGGAGCTATATAGCTAATAAAGCTGTAATATTGATAAGTGTGTTAACGTATACAGTTAGAATTTGGGGTCACTTTCTTTTCTGGCTTCAAAAAGCCTAAACATATGTGGTTGGTGCATAGTAATGAAATGTACATCACAGGGGCCTTTTTGTTTGAAGAAATGTTGACTAATCTTGGCATTTGTAAATGGATACTTGCTGTTATATTATAAAAGAAATACTTAACCAAAATGACAAGAAAAAAATGGTTCACTGTAGGTTCATTGTGCTGTGATGGTTGTATGTAGGTTTGTAATGTATGCGTGCTTGCAGAGGTCATTAGTTCATTGGAATAAAGCCACCCCCACACATGGCTCAATGTATGGTGCCTCAGTGTGTGCGTGCTTATATGTATCAACATGTGTAAGTAGATATGGCTATGGCTTTGTACTGTCAACATTCTCTAATTTAACTCAAATGGCAAGCTAATGGAAAAAAAAATCATCGAAATACACTGAGTATCTGGTCATGGAACTACACTCCCTTTAAGCAGACTTGAGTTCTAACTTGGGCATGTCTGGTTACTAAATACATAGTATTTAACACATGATCACAGGGATCTCTGTTGCTACTTATGTTGTTTTTTTCTACAAAATAAGGAAATGAGTAACCACTTGTGACTAATTAAAAATACCAAGATTGATTTCAATTATATGTGCTTCAACTTAGTGTAAATCAGATATTTAGCAGGTGAAATAAATGTTAAACTTACTTTTGAGGGTAAACCTAGTTATTAAAACGTTAAATATGTTGTTTGAACAACAAATTGTGGCAATTTTCTTCTCTCTCAACAGACTAGGTATAGTATGTTATCATATTATAATGCTGAACCAGGCATTCACCTGTCCCTCTTGGTAATGTAAGTGTTAATAAGTAACCATGGATTTCTTATTTCAGTAGGTCTTCCCACTGGAAATGTTAAGAGGTCATTAATAAATCTAAATCTAAAGTTGTGGATAAGTAAATCTAGTTAAACTGAACTAAACAAACAACTACTAAAAAATATAAGAAAAAGAAAAACTTTCTACTTTTTGGTAGTCTTAGCTTAACTGACATCTTCGCTCAAAATATTATTTCTCACTTTCTAAATTAGTTTACTTCAAACTAATCGCAGGAGTGCGCTGTATGGTAGAGTAGTAGGTATTTCTCATCATGACAATTTATTTCAAATATTCGTGTCAGCTAGTAGTATTCAATGTGAAATGTATAAAACTGTATAACTGTAAATATCTCAACAGCTGCTGATCATTTCAGAGATATTCATAGAAGTTGGCGACTTTTCTTTTCCTCTTGCTCAGACAGTAAAAAAATGTAGCATAGCTCTCTTAGTTAGAGTTTTCCTGTGACTTGGTTGATAATTATTATCTCATTAAGCAGACTCCCCCGAGAATGGTGTTACTACTGACCTGCTGCCTTTACGACCAAGAGGTACATTAATAGCAGGGACTTGAGTCTTCGCTGTGTGTCCAATAGAGTTTCCATGTCGCAGAAGGAGAAAAAAGATCCTGGTCCAACTCTGGAAAATCCTTACGTTAACCGCAACTTGTTCAGAGAGGCAAGAGGGAGACCTGAACCGCTCCTCAGACTGTCAACTCTTCACTCTCTGCTGTCTGCGAACGCGTCATGTCGTTTGTATTGTATTGCACGTGTAACCGGAAGTGAAGTAATGTCCTCCACAATAAAAGCCTCCAAGAAAGAATAACCCTCTCCAGAAGAAACCTGCCGACTGAATTAGGAAACTAGCCTTTTTAAGGTAAGTACATGTTTGTGATTTTCTTTAAAATATAATATTGATGTATGAATTTGTAGCTTTCTGAATGATAACCTGTGCATACAACTTCACATTTCACACTCTGTAAGCAACTCAGGTAACGTGCAAATTCTTACTGTTCAGTTTTACATGTTTAAATGTTTAGATATGCACATATAATTACAACTGATTGTACACTTCATAGTCTTTAAACAACTCACGTTTAGGCCTAATGTACAATCTTTATGTCCAGTCTTGTTGTTTAAATCCTTCAAAGACACACATGTTTTTATATACATGCATGTGCATATATTGGGTATGTGTATGTGTGTATGTATATGTAGACATAATTATATGCGTATGAAATATGGATTTAATATAACGCAAAAATAGTTTCGTTTATTTTGAAATGCTTTGGAAGTATTAAAGGAAGTTCTGCTAAATTTATACGCTATATATACATGTGAGAGGTTTTTTGCAACTGGCAACAACCCGAACTGCCTAGTCAACTGCCCAATCTGTTCCTGCAAATAGAGTAGGAGCGGTGATATCTCCAAACAGTCCAAAGAGGGGAAAGAGTGAAACATTATATGACTGTCTTGGAAAAGAAATCGGTCATCCCCTCTCTGTATCTTTAAAACCTCTTTTTTGTTTCACGGGTCCTCAAAAGGTGAAAACAGTTATTTCTAATAAATCTATACAACGGAATACGTGGTAGACATTATCTACTATAACAAAAACCCACTTTTGGGTGCAAACTTTAACTAAACAAAAATGTGAAAATAGGAAAGGCATGGGCAGAAGTTGTGAAATCGAGGATTCCCTGGGTTTTCGTAGCAGTTCATACAGTCAAAGTCTGAGTCACTTTAAATGCTTTGGATTTTTACCATGGATACGGGCTTTGTTCAACAAGGGGACTGCGCCTCATTGCCTCATAATCTTGTCTAAATTCCAATCTCACCAACAAAACTGCTGACAGGGGCTGCCTCTTTTTCCACCCAAGAGTTGCCGGAGAAACCATCTAGAAGTATCACTTAGAAACAGGACAACAAAGAGCAAGTGGCCCGTATCTGTACAGTAAAAGACTGGGGGTTTTTAAGAAGTGCAAAAACACCAGCGTATGGGATCATTTTTTTTAGTGAGGCAGCCTGCATCAGTCCAAAAAGTAAACTAATGAAAGAAATTAGAGGCCCAACCCATTTGTGAGTGCAGTGATGTAAAATCAATGAAATGTAAACTATAAAAAGTATGTGGTGCACCTTATTCCCTTTTAAGGAATATTCAAAAAGTAGCATTAGTGGATAACTGCTTTTTGTGAGACAAGCAACTCTTGTGCTCAGGTCTCTTTTGCTTTTCTTATCTCTCAGAACACCATGTTCAAGTGACTGATTAAGACACCTCCCTTCTCAGCAGCCCCCATCTGCTTCTCATCAAGTCTGATAATGTGGAGAAGAGGGTGCCAATTTTACAGCGCACTGCTGAATAATTCACCTGCCTTTCTAATGTTGAGACATACCAATAAGGTGATGTGAACAGTGGCATTATCATACAGTTTAACTCCACCTTCTTTTGAAGCATCGTCTTATCTATGCCATGGCAGGTCTGTGCACGCAAGGTTCTCATTTGGAAATGCCTTTCCCCTCAGTATCACATTTTTTTTTAATCAATCTACAGGATTAAAATGTTCATCTCATTCATGCTACCAGAACATCCATTTTTCTGTTACTGTCATTAATGGTGACAAGAAATAATGAATCTTCATTCAGAAAAACCCCCCACCACGGGTTGCTTGGGGGGAAAAAAAGTTTTAAGGATCTGAACTAATGTCCTTCAGTGACATCTAGTGCTAAAAAGATAAACTGCACTTTAAGTATGTGGCAGTTATGATCCATCAAAATGTATAGTCTCAACGAGCTTAATGTCACTTTTATTAAGAGTAACTAATTCAATTATTAAGTGACAAAATAAAGTGTGTGTTGTTTATTTTTCCACTATAATAAGGACTTGGAGGTTGTTGCTGTAACATGCAGTAAAATACAATAAAGACTTTTTAAATTAGATTTTCTTCATGTATTTTGTGTTAGTTACATTTATGTTATGCTATATTAGAACCACTGTAACAGCTTTTTCAATAATAATAATAATAATAATAATATTGATACTAATAATAAGAAAGTAATGTATGTAAACGCTGAGTGTAGTTTCTGATTCCAAAGATGTCAAACCAATCCCTAATTCCTGAAAGTACTATTCTTTATATTGGTCAACAGGGGACGATACTTCTGGTTTCAAAAATCTCTCCTACTGCATGGAGGCCACTGGGAAAACTGCTCTTTACTCCACTTGATCTGAGACCTCAGTAAAAAAATTACCTAATGAGTTTATGGTCACTACTTCTACTCCTACAGGCTCTAAAGAGGCTTCTTTCTGCTCTGAATTTGGTCTTTTTTAACAGGAAATTCTAGCGACTTTTTGAGTCAACATTAAGCGGGCATTAAAGGAATGATAATGGTACTTATCAGGGCCATTTCCTGCTCTACATCAAGTATGGTTTCCTTATTATACTAACATACTTTTACTTAATCCTTTTGAGTGCACTGCTTTAGTACCTTTTCTTAAGTAAAGCCTCTTCTAAATAACTGTGATTCTAAATATTATCTTATCAGAAGAGTTCCTTGGGAATGTTCTGCTGCTTCTACGCTGAAAGTCTAGCTCCACCCTGTCTTCAACACATTCTTTCATCCCAGTACCAAAAATAGAGCACAAGATATGATGATTTTCAGCCGTTTAAAACAATTAAATTAATTGTAAGTCATCCACTCATTGTTTAGGCTGCTCTTCCAATGGCTGAGCTGTTCTCAGAGGGGAAACTCTTAGCATGATTGAGATGCAGAGGTTCAGTACTTTACACACAATTTTAACAGTTAAAACACCCTTAAGAGTTCAGCTGAAGCTTGTATATGAACAGCTGTAAATGCATGTAGTGAAAATCTTAGGCATGACTCTCTAACTGAATGAATTTGACACAAAATACTCAGAAAAAAGGCCCTGTTAAGCCTTGCTTAGATTTTTTTGAAATAGATATTTGATCTGTGATTCTTTGGAGTTAACCCAACTTTGATTTACTGCTTGAAGAATCTAGTACAAGTAACTTCTTAGGCCAAGCATGTACTTCTTTTACAACTTTGAATTTGCAGTTAAATCTTTTCGAAGCACTTGTAATACATTATGAGCCTTCTACTGAAGTGTTTCAGCTTTGTGTAAAATGCATGGTAGGACACCTAACCACATTTAGAGCTTATGATTTATTCCTTTCATGGTGCCTAAAATTTATAGAGGATTCAAAGCCACTCTTAGGTTTTCACTGGGGCTCTGAGCAGATTCACATTCTCATTCTAAATATGTTCACATGAGACACGATGGCTTTGGAAATATATACAGCTTCTCTTGTAATTGAAAAACTATAGCTCAGTCAGTTACCATGACAACTGGAAATCTGCCATAGTAACAGTAGCTTATACTTCTGCATCATATATGCAACAAAGTACTTAGATGTCAAAAGTGTGACACTTGAATTGTTATTTGCATTACATTTATACAGATAAGATGATGACGATCATTTTATCTGCATCTCAGTTTCAATACAACAAATCCAGAAAAATGTTTTCAGCAAAACTTTATTTTTCAGTGCATGAACGGAATACCATATCAAGGTCATAGCCTATCCTTTTCAATCCATTTTTAAATATTTTTCTCTTTTTTTTACATAAAAAAATAATGGAGCGATTTAATATACCTCTATTTTTTTTCTCCCCAAAAGAGCACTCGGCAAGTATTTATAAAGGTGCTGTACAATGTACAAACATTTACATCTACTGTTCCTACAGAATGTAGAAGATACCACAAGGATTGTGTTTTTCTTTTTTCTAATGAAGCAATGCAAGGCCACAGTATGATGCAGAGATGTCAAACAAAATTGTTCAAATGAAAGCATAAAGCTGTACTACAGTGCAGGGGACATACAATAAAAGAGGATATTATCCGATTCTGAACCAGAGTGAACTTTTTTCAGCACTCGGGGTTGGATTTACTCATTCAACCAACCAAACTATTGCACAAAAGCCTACCACTGATTGGCTCAAAGTACATCCTCTAGGGATTTGTAACCTGAAAACTCCTTTATACAATCACAGACTTCAACCACCATTCAGCTCTCATTGATAACGACTTTATCACACATTTGCTACAATTCAGTTTTCCCTGAGCTCATCTGAATGCGTTTATTTCAAAGTTGTATTTGCAAGTATGTTGAGTATATTTGCGTATCACTTCAAAAATCCTTTAAAGCGGACCTATTATGCTTCTCTTCATTTTCTGTCTGGCACAAACCTCAAATAATGAGGTCATTGTACACACAAGTAATCCAAGTGAGCCAAAAGCTCAGACTGCTCTAAATGGTTTGTTATTTTTAGGCAGTTTTTTATTTGAAAGAATGCTAAAGACACACAGCAGCCCCTCCCATCTGCTGTTTCTGTTTGCCAATAAGAAAAGAATTTGGCATAAAGGTAAGGGCCAAGGAACTAAAACACATTTTTCCAGACAGAGAATGACCTGAATGCTACACAGCGGCCCAATGTAACTTAAACGAGTATTATTATTAGGTAAATAGGCAAAGTGACTCTTATGGTGTCCAAGCATAAAAGTTTGGAGCTATAAATCAGCATAATATGTCCTCTTTAAAGTAACAGTGAAATCTGACTATTTCTTATTTTTATAGACTGCACATTATAAAACTACACTGGTCTTCTCTGTGCTATTGGCTCCCTTTAATATGTAAGGTGGAGAGTTTTCTGTATACATGCCTTATTTCAGCAGC